AAAAACGGCGCACGCACACACAAGCACTAAACATCCATGCCCTGAATGGAATTCGAACCCACGATCCCGGTTGCCGAGCGAGCGAAGACATTGCATGCCTTAGACCGCTCGTCTATCGTGACCGGCGAAATAATTATTAGCAGGAAATTATGGAAGAAACGCAGAGAGAACCCCGCTTCGTTGGTGCTTGGTCCACTAAGAATTTTCACGTGAAATCGCCTGGAATTGAACCAGGCCCTCCGCGATGAGGCGCCATTTTATTGCCAGAACCCAATTAAATTACTTCCAACTAGTATCGAGGTCAACAAAATGTGAATCTATACATCCACTCAAACGTACGCCTTCATGGCGTAGTGCTTAATTCGTTAAGCACAAGGACAACTTTGTCTTTTTACCTTTTTTCCCCCTTGGCACTACAGCCCCAGTGGGCCTAGGCCTACCTCCATGGACTTCTCCGTTCACTTCGGTTTTTCTAGATCTTACACATTCGGTAGGACTCCTTGGGCGGGTGATCAGCTCGTCGCAAGGCCTCTACCTGTAGACAAACACAGAAAAACGCACACACACAAACTAAACATCCATACCCTGAGTGGGTTACGAACTCACGATCCCGGTTTCCAAGCGAGCGAAGACAGTACATGCCTTAGACCGCTCGGCTACCGTGACCGGCCTTTTTACCTTTAGCCAATTAAATTTATAACTCCAGAAAACATTGAATGGATTTCTTGGGGTTTAAGGGAAAGGATGTTGCTTATTTGAAGCTTGTGTTTCTGTGAGCTGATTGTTCTGCTTCAAGTCAGTCAGTGCAAGAACAGTCGTAGTGGTAAGGTACATGAACTGACTGAAATGATCTGAACCATTGGACACGCCGTCTGACGAAGTTCGTGTTAAGCTGGTAACAAGTGACTACTTCACAAATGATTTCTCTCACTAATTTCACTAACGCGTAGAATTGTACGAATGCGTGTCCAATGCGATGGAGACAGGTTTAGTGGTTGTGCATTATTTCCTTCTTACAAAACGAACAGACTAATAGTTGAAGAGCATTGAACTTGATGTGACTACTCTACGTGTTGGCAGATAAGTTTCCTGTTGATCTTCTGATATGTTAGCAAGGAACCTATGTATTATCGCAGATACGTATCGGGCATTTTGGAATGTTTCGTTCCCCAAAGTTGTAAGTAACTGTGAGATCGAGGAATTTTTTTTTCGGATTTAGTGAAGCAGAATGTATGAAGGACCGCCTCTGTGGTCTAGTGGTCAGAGTGCCTGGCTACAGATCCACAGGTCCCGGGTTAGATTCCCGGCGCTACCAGATTTTCTGACAAGTAGTGGGTCTGGAACGGGGTCCACTCAGCCTCGTGAGGATAATTGAGGAGCTATTTCAAGGAAATAGCGGCTCAGGTCTAGAAAACCGAAATTAACGGCCGTGGGGATTCCTTGCGCTGACCACGCGACACCTCTATCCGCTAAACTTGGCACTAATTTCCCCGACAAGCGGCGGTCGCTCGGTCGGTATAGTTCGCTTGCGGACTACAAGCCACAGAGGGGTTTTCTTTTTGTTGTTAACGTAGGAAGAGAACCGTCTCCTGTCCATGCCAGATATTCTTGAATATAAGAGTTGTGTAAGCTAACTAGCAAAATTGGCGTGGCTAATACAACGATAATATTCCATCACTTGTGAAATTAGGCTAGAGAATACGGCATTTTCCTAATCCTGGTTATCGAGGTCATTAGTCTGTGTTGGTACCGAATTAAAATCCTGCTGTAAGTTTATGAGCTTTACTGTACGAATTTAAAATTAAATAATCCTGACCACCAAGTCATCTCTTCTCCGTGTTATCCTAACTATTGCACAAGTCGAACTTGTGAACTTGGCTAGACTTGACTAGAGTATTGCCGGTTTATTAGGCAACTTCTCTGACATATGTGTGATGCGGGTCGGTCTAAATAGGCTGTGCTGACGCCTTTATTCCAGAGAAGAAAATCGGTTGATAACATTTATTTTAGTGTAACCGTTTAATTATTTATTTATTTGAAGTAATTTGTAAGCGATCAACCGACTTATTTCTTGTCCAAAAATTGATTCATTTCAACATTGACTTTAAGGAAGAGGGAATCCAAAGTAAGGTTTTGAACATGAAAGTAAACGAAAAACACCCAAAAGGAAGACTGAGAGCAAGATGGGAAAACAGATTAGGAAAGGTGAACGTGATGAGATTCAGGAAGACATAGATGTGGAGGCTTTGTTGTGAGACAACCTACACAAAAGTGGAGGAAATGTTGAAGTAAGGGGAAGCAGATGCAGGCTCTGTTCTCTAACATCTAATGAATATAGTTATTTTCAAAGTCTTGTGAATTCTAGAGCTACTGATTATGATGCTGTGTAGTCTGGAAGGTGGTTACTGTCGTTATGGAGGAACAGTTGCGTCCATCCTCAGACATACCAGACTAAAATGTGTCTTACTCTAGAATACTGCATACCAAACTTTCACTGCTACGGAAACCACAAATCTCATATTTGAAGTTGCCTTCTTTTTTCTTACACTTGCACTCCATCTCTTTCAGTGCTATCATAACATTACTCATAATTGTACCAGGTCGCGGGATCGAAACCCGATGAGGTGGATTTTTTCAGTTGACCTAACCCATCCAGCCGCACTATGGCCCTGGAGTCGACTCAGCCTCTAACAGAAATGAGTACCAGGAATATTCTTGGGAGTAAAGGGCGGCTGACGCGTAAGGCTGACTACCATACCGGCATCTATGAGCCGATTGTCTAGAAAATGTAGGAACCTCAACATCTCACAACCCTATGGGCTGTTACAGGAATAGCTTTACTTTTACTTTTACCCTTTCAAGGAGAACGTGAAATAGCAGCATGACTCCAGATGAGGTGAATATGCTGGATGTTGAATTTTCCGTTTTATAATATTTTCACTGATAAAAATAATGTTTCACACACATAGAGCACTGCAACCATTAAGCAACCTAGATTGCCTTGACTGTGTGACATGTAACTGCTGAATCATGCAGTAGTGTGATCTGACATGTGCTAACTCCATTGTTTCCAGTTGCTGCATGGAAGCATTGCAGTTGAAATTTTAGATTTCCATGGCAGCGAAAGTTTATATTGGATTGTGACACCGTGTAGTGCGTAGTTTCGTAGGTGGTCACCATTGTTGCAGAAGAACCATTCATTTAATTTTCAGACTTCATATTCACGCCTGCAGTTGTACAGAAACTGCTTTGTCATATTTTATTTATTTCTGTCTCGTGGTTCTTTTTCATTGTCATGATTAGTTAATACAGGGTGCGTAAGAAAGGATGGTTGGATTTCAAGCGACCGTTACGCCGCGACGGGGATAGGCTTAGAGTGGGGGATCGACTGTTGGGTCGGTGGCTGAATGCAGTTTTAGTTGGTAACATGGAGTAGTCGGGTGCACAGTGTGCGTTCGTCGTAGAGACGTTTTTGAAAAATAGAGAGTCTGTGATTGCCACTCAACGAGCCTTCAGCACTCATTTCGAGCTCGGACGTCGCGATAGGATCCCTACTCGGAACACAGTTTTGCGGTGGGTGGCTTCATTTGCTATTTGGAGGCGGAAGTTTATAAACATCGACCACATAACTGGACGAGCCGAAAACAGCGATTCGAGAAGAAATCGCGGCGATTCCACCAGATATGACCGCGACCGTGATGAATAACTTCAGAAAACGCCTCGACGTCTGTATCAGAAGCCAAGGACGTCGTATGGATGATATTATATTCCACAAATAAACTGCATGTATTGGCGAATCTGATGGTAACAAAATTTGGATTTGATGAAACCTTACCAATTTTATTGCCCTGTGAAATTCATCCATTCTTTCTGACGCACCCTGTACTTTAATCCTCTGCACACCAATTTCCTGTTACTCTCTAGCCAATTCAAATTAAACTCTATGTTCCTCAAAGGTGAAAGTGTTCCTGTCTAGGAAACCGAAATTAACGGCCGCGGGGATCCGTTGCGCTGACCACGTGACACCCTCTATCTGCAAAGGTTGCCAGTAACTTCACCGACAAACCGCGGTCGCTCGGTCGGTATAGTTCGCTTGCACACTACAAGCCACGGAGTTAGGTGAAAGTGTCCTGATATGTGAAATGTAAATTCCATGAATTTCATACACTTATGGGATTGTTGCTCATTGTTATGTCAAACTATGATGCATAACAACCTTTTCACATCAGACTTTCTTCCACATATGAACATGTTTAGTGAAAAGAATTCAGCAGTGGCTGGCATGCGAAATATATTGTGAAAATCATGTTATTGAATTCAGCCTGTAATCTTAACATTCTGTGTGAAATATTCTTCATGATCTTCTCATGCTGCCTACATTTTCAGCCCTTCTATTCTGAAAATGAAGGCAACCTTTTCATGTAAAACACTGGTAAACAATTACTAGACTACATAGTGTTACATCTTTATAGTCACTGTTGTGAGAACCTGAGATCTCACTCAGATGATAATTTGTGCTGTTTAAATTCCCACGCCAATTAGAGGGCCACAGAGTTATTTTACTTTCTTCCTTCTTTCAGTAGCCACTCCAGTTAAATTCATTAAATTCCAGCATCATCTTAATAGTATGCATCCTGTTGTGTGTCATACGCAAGGTACACAAAATGTATACAAAAGTCTGCAGTCTGCACAACAATATTCTGTATTTATTTAAGCAGAAACACTCAGGTGCACAATAAGGTTCCTTATTCAAGAATTACATGCAATTCAACAACTGAGTCTGGTATCATTGTACACCTGATGACCCAGTATAAGGGTCGAAACATGTTGCGTCAATAAAAACATATGTTGATGCGATAGTGTTTGCTTTATTTTAAATACAGAATATTGTTGTGTAGACTGCATACTTCTGTATACATTTTGTGTACCTCGTTCAAGTACCATGTCCTCACTATTTACAATTTCAGAATTTAAAATCAGATTCTACTTGATTGTTACAGGATCCGACCACAGATAGCTCGGGAACTGATAGACATGTGTCGGATTTGTACCACTGTTACACCAGGTGAGCCCCAAGTGACGCTGGGCTCAGACAAGGCCTTCACATATGATTATGTATTTGACACGAATGCCCAGCAAGAAGATGTTTACAGCACCTGTGTAGAAACACTTGTGAATGGATCCCTTGAAGGATACAATGCAACTGTTTTGGCTTATGGACAGGTAAGATGATGCCAGTATCTACAGAATGATTATGTATCGAAAGTGTGGGCAAATTATGGTTGACAGGCTGAATGCTGGCTTCAGAGGGAAACTAGCCTACATTTCAAAAATCAGCATGCAGAGGTTTAATGATCCTATAGACTTCGTATGGCTGCATTCCCTGCTATGACTCATGAAGGTAATTGGATTTGTAGGTATGACTTGCTGAAATTTTGTCTGTCTCTATCATAATTTATTTTACTGAATGTCATAATATAATTGTAGACATTAATTTATATTTTTATCGGGAAAAATATGCATACATTTCAAATGTAGAGATAAGAAGGGTGGTTCTGGTTGGTATTGATAGAGAGTGATGTGGTTGACTATATTAGAGAATTTTATTGAAGGTTACATATTATAAAATGAAGTCATGGTGAAGTTGATGGGTTATGGGGAAGAAGTGTGTATTTTTTTAACAGTTTCCCTGCCCATTAGCTACATGGCTAAGTTTGTATGTGGCAGAGATTAAAATCTGTTTAATATTTTTAATATGAACACGTGCCTGTTGGCCAAATAGCTATATGGTAATTGGATCAACTTATGAATTCATGTAATATTCTGCAGGGTGTTTAGTATACCATTGATGTAAGAATGTCACTTACTAAGAATTACAGAATATTAAATTTGTAACCTCTTCCCAAAGTGTGGGACTCTGGAGATTCAAAAATCATAACTAGCATACCAGCATTAATAATAAAAAATAAGAAATGATGTTAAAACACAATGTAAAGACAATGCCAAGGACCTAATTAGAGATAAATACAGTAAAATCATATTTTTACGCTGGTGTCGGGAGACAGAATGAAGATTCATGCTGTCGGCAACCCACGGTATTTTGCGAAAAAATGAGTTTTATTTGACGTGAAAGATTTTCATATCAAATTATAACAATAACAACTGCATTGTATGTAGGTTTAAATGCCTGCTTCATTTAATCAGTATTTTTAAAATTGTCCCTTTTTTGGCGCGATAGCTGATGACGCTTCTGAAAGATGAAGATTATCACAGTCAATCTTTCTTTTCCTTTCCTATTCGACATAATTATAACCTTAAAATAGAAAAAAGAAATAATGTAACTTTATAAAGGAAGCAAGAGAAAGAGTTTCAATATCACATTCCTCAAAAAGCCAAAAGAATGTATTTAATCACCTTATCCTGGGTGCAGTATTTTCCGTATGCCACACTGATTAAATGGAGCATGCGGTAGAGCGTAGTTTGCTGAGACACTATGTTACAAGCCAGAAGGTCACAGATTTGATTCCTGATGAGGTCATTGGGTTTTCCAGTTGACCTAATCCTTCCAGTCGCACTGTGGCCCTGGGGTCAACTTGGCCTCTAACAGAAATGAGTACTGTGAATCTTCCTGGGGGTAAATTGTGGCCGGCACTTAAGGCTGACAACCTCACCGCCATCTGTGAGCTGATGGTCTAGAAAATGTGGGAACCTCAACGTCTCAGAACCCTGTTTGCCTCCACAGCCTGTTACAGGGATACCTTTACCTTTTTACATTGATTACAGCATTGGAAGGCTTTTGTGTAGCTAATGTAAAGAAGCAACTTTGTCTCCTTAGCAAATCACTGATCATATAGAAAGTCATATTACCCACTCAGAGAGACCGACTAGACACAGTTGTTCAGCGAAGTTCTTTGGAAGTCCCCCTGAGTAATTATGTGATTGTGGTTGAATTATTGTTTCTCACTGGTATTATTTTATGATGTATGTATTTGTTATGATCTTTGTATATAATGATGTGTTTATTTGATTTTCCTTTTGCAGACAGGATCTGGAAAAACATATACTATGGGTACTGGCTTTGATGTTGAAGTCCAGACAGAGCAGGTTGGAATCATTCCACGGGCTATACATCATCTCTTCCAAGGAATTCAGGACCGTGCAAACCAGGCTCGGGAAGCTGGCCAGCCAGCTCCAGAATTCAAAATCGTTGCACAGTTTATGGAACTATATAATGAAGAAGTTATTGATTTATTTGATCCATTAAGGGAACAGTATGCAACAAAGGTCAGTATGCAGAATTGCCATGGTAAAGTCTAAAAGTATGTTCAAAAACTAGTTTTAAATTATGCCACAAAGTGTTTTGTCTGCATTCTGTAATTTCAGGGGAAGAGTGGAATTAAAATTCATGAAGATGCTTCTGGAGGAATATATGTAGTCGGAGTAACAATGAAACCTGTTTTGTCTGCTGAGGATGCTCTGCAGTGCCTGCGGATGGGTGCACTCTCCAGGACAACAGCTAGCACCCAGATGAATTCTCAGTCTTCACGCTCACATGCCATCTTCACACTCCACATTAAACAGCAGCGCATGGTAAAAGTGGAGGTCAGTGGTTATTACTGCTGGTGATCTGTTCATTGTCTAGGCAGCACTGTCGGCACTGCAAGTGAAAACATCTACCAATTTCTATAGTTAGATGTAAAACTGCTAATGCATATGTAATTCAAATGCTGAAACTGAACTTCTCCAATCTCATATTGTGGGCTAAACTTGGGGAAATAAACTGTGAGAACTATACTTTTAGGCAAGAACATCCAGATGAACATTCACAAAATAATATTGAGAAAATTTTGGAAAATACATGTATACTTGAATTTTTAAGTTATGATTTTCTGGATTATGATACTCTGCAGCCTAGTAGATGATTACTAGAGTCACTTGAGCTTCAGGTCATTTACACACTGAGATTTGCGGGTTTCACAGCAGTGAACATTTAAATGTTGGTTTTCTGAGTTGTAATCTTGTAGGTGGTTACCAAATTTCAGAGGAATCTGTTTCCTTCATCTTAAGGATACCCTAAAGCAAAACTAGCTGATTTCTCTGAAATACTGGTATGAGACTACATGGTATCACTATCTAAAAGATCACATCTAAATGTTCATCCATATGAAAACCTCGAATTGCAATGTGTTACAGGTTTTCACATAGCAAACATTAGTGAAAATTGCAGTCATTCACATTTTCATTTAACCACTACTATTTCTGCATACACAGCCACTAATGCATGCACTGGGTTAGCAGGCCCAAGCAGGCCTAGTGTTACATTGATTACAGTATAAATCCCATTATCACCAGCTGTAAACCCAGCTTCCAACACCATATCATCAGGAGATTTAAACTGAGACGGTCAAATTTAATTTATATTACAATTCAAATACAAAAATTTTTTTAAAGTCAGGCATGAACTAGGTGTGTAACTGTTCCCTAGCAGACTTCTCATGTGGTGAAATCAATCAAGAACTCAAAAGTCTTACATCCATTCTAAAACCTGTCAAATACCACTACTAGATAAAACCAGCTGAGATTAGGCTGAAGTGATGATAGTAGAGTTCTTTTGGATTACATCTCAGTATGGATATATAGGTACTTGGTGTAAATCACAGAAGTGTGAGTTCTCTTCTGTAATGAATGAATGAATGAATGAATGAATGTATAAGAGGTGGGCCTTCTTGGCCCTTGCACCATGACCTACAGTGGTCTGTTGTGCTTCCCCTTTTAATTATCCCCTCAGCAATCCTGCGCAGGATTTTGTACATGAGGGCGTCGAAATAGTCATTTGGTTCCATACAGTATTGACCACCTTTGGTTCATCCAAGTCATATGCAAGGTAGGCTGAAATGACAATGAGCTCCTCACAGCATCCGCCCAATGTGTATGTCATCCTCACTGTTGTGTCTCTAAAATGAGACTCCAGCAAGGGTAAAGCATTAATATGATTATTAACATATATGCATGATCTGACATTTTCTCCAGGTGCCACAGAGTAGACTGTTCCCCCTGAATTCGTTAAGCCTCTTATTTTTTCCCTATATATCCAACGTTCCTGAATAAGTGCTACGTCTACATAAAATTGCCATAGCAGCCTTGCTGTGGTGTAGATTAATTTAAATGAATCGTATTTTATGTGTAAATGTCGTGTGTATATATGTATGCATTTTATTTAAGCAGTTTTTTTATTGCTAGTGGGGTGGGACTAAGTCCCTTGTACTGTGGCCATTTCTGGCCTATTGTACCAGCCCCAGATGATAGGTAAGGGTGATTGTGGAGCAATTGGTGAAATGAAGATAGGCAAGGGAAACCGAATTACTCGGAGAAAACCTGCCCTAGCCCCACTTTGTCCACCACAAATCCCACTTGACCAGACCCAGGATCGAACCCGGGCCGCCGAGGTGGGAAGCCAGTGACTAAGCGCTTGAGCTATGGTGCAGCCGATCCTCCTTGTCAGTCCCTGGTCCCTTAGAGTCCCTGGGCCTTTTTGGAGTTCTGGCCGTTTCTGTAGGGGTATTGTCCTCCAACCTTGGCCTCTTAAAGTTACCAGTGGAAGTTTCTCCCTGCTTGGATGAGTCTGAATTTCCTAGTTGCTGACTGCCCCCAGTTCTTGCTTTGCTTGCCCCAGCTCTTGCCTTTCTTAGCTTCCATCTAGCGCATCCAGACAGGGCTTTCTTCGCTAGACAGGGTCCACCTACTACAGAGACTAGGTGTTCCAATACTTCTCCTGCTGCAGGTGTGCTAGAGGTCCTAGCCTCCTGTAGTGGTATGTCAGTACTACTGACTCCCAAGAGAGGAGTTTTTGGTTTTATCTCATGTAGGTTTTGAACCACTGGTTCGTCCCTGCTTTTGGCTGAAAGTTGAACAGCAGGTTCGCTGGTTGCAACTGGATCCCTTAGTGGTTCTCCAGAGCTTCCAGCCCCCTGCTGAAGCATTTCTCGTAGGGATCCCCTTTGGGGGGGGGGGTCCCTCAACAGTTTAAGGCCCTTACGACCGGTTTTTAATTTGGTTCCTTTCATTTTGGTCCCACAAGTCATGGGGATTTCAAAGGTTGCCGCCCGCAGCGCCCCATACAGGTGGAAGGCATAAATACAATGGGGTGCTGCCTGGTGCCCCAAGGGGATCGTTCAAGACACTGGCTAATTACCACCCCAGTGCCATGCAGCCCTCAGCACGATGCCTCACACCTTGGCTTAGGTGGTCTGGTCCTGTTGTGAATGCAACCCTCACAAGCCTTCAGGACCAAGAATGCCTGTTCGGGGGGGAGAGGGGTATCCCAGATGATTAATGCAAGTGTGACACCAGTTAGTCATGAGGCTGCAACCAGGACAACCTACACGAGAGAGTCGCCCCTGGGGGTGGCCTATAAGCTCCCCCATTCCCACCCCTCCACATGGGTTGATCAAACCTTTTTAGAGTGTTGAGCGCTAAGGCTTGTGGCACCTTATTGGTACTCTAGGGAGACAACTCAAATAGCCAATGCTCTCCCACATTCGTCCCGGGTACACCGTAGTGATACCCAAGAGTCATTATGCCGCTGCATGGGAGGCTCCAGCCATAATGCCATTGCCCTTTATGGGAACTCAGCCGCCAGCCCGGAAGGTCATACTGATCCAGACCCCGAGACTGTCATTTCCCGGCAGAACCACAAGGAGGTGTCCCAACACATCCCTGGTCCATGATGCGTCCCCACCAAAGACACAGCCGTGGTTCAGCCAACCTCATTGAGGATGGCATCATTACCACCTGTAACATATGACATGCAGAAGTCACAGTTACCCCAGGATCAAACCCGGCTGCCTTCTCTTCTACAAGACACACGTAATTGAGCAGCCTCCTATTGTTTCAAAATCGTTATGATGCTATGCGTAATTCTAACAAAGCATACAATTTTAAAATTGTTTGTTTTCTTTCAGACTGTGGATGATGGGGAATCTATAGTAGCAACAGACCCATCTAATGAGTTTGAGACTCTTACAGCCAAGTTCCATTTTGTTGATTTGGCAGGATCAGAACGGCTGAAGAGGACTGGAGCTACTGGTGAACGTGCGAAAGAGGGCATCTCTATAAACTGTGGTCTCGTAAGTAGTCCTCACTTTGTAATAATGTCATCTGTAATTAGATGACTAAACCATGTAGTATGAAGGTGTGGTAAGGAGATGCTACTGTGACATATAGAATCTGTATGTATGTTTTAATGAATCACTGTTCCAGAAGTGTTGTGTCTAGGTATGTTTTCAGACCACAGTACTTTTGTGGTATTAAAGAGCCTGCTGCACCAATTAAATTCATTGCTGACCAGCTGATTGAAATGTCCTTTGTACAGTACAATTTAATATGTTCAGTGCAGCAAGCAGCATTTCATGTTACCACATCATGTCTGGATAAGGTTTATATGTGAAGAGTGATAATGTTCATTCAAACAGCTGTATTTTTCTTCTACTTCCATTGAATATTAATGCATATGCCATTCTCAGTTTTTAAATTGTAATAAATATGTTATGCATAGGTAATGCTCCTAGAATCCTAAATATTTTGCTTCATACAAGTTATAGTTAGGGGCATGCTGTAGCATAGTTAGTTGAGGCACTACGGTACAAGCTGGAAGGTCGTGGGTTCAAGTCCCGATGAGGTGGATATTCCCCCTTCCCCTATTGACCTAATCCTCCCAGCTGCATTGGCCCTGGGCTCAACTCAGCCTCTTACAGAAATGAGTACCAGGAATCTTCCTGGGGGGTAAAGGGCGACCAGCGCGTAAGGCTGACAACCTTACCGCCGTCTGTGAGCCAATTGTCTAGAAAAAATGTGGGAGCCTCGACGTCTCACAGCGTTCACAGTCTGTTACAGGGATAGCTAGCTAGAAGGAAATTATACTGTTTAAATGTGTCGGATGCTTGGATTGTTCCACGTGAAGTTACTGATGCTGTTATAATCATGTCTCATTGAAGATCATTCTAGAACAAGAAATCTTTCACTGGGCGACCTACTAAACTGAATAAAAGGATGACTGCTATCCTTTAGGATGTATGTCACGTAGAGTTGTAGGAACATCCATTTCACTCATCACTGATCTGTCACCTTCACATGCATATGGAATTTTGTGGTTATTGCTTCACTATTACATATCAGAAAATTTTAAAATGTATTTAACCGTTTTGAATGTTTTGTAACTTTTTGATGGAAAAGTTTTGGACTTTTGTCAGTGTTTTGTTGGATATTAGTTTTATGCTATTCACTGTTCCTTTAAAATACCATTATAATTTTCATGAAGCACACTTGAAACTATTTACAAGTGAGCCTTTGTACATGTCTTGCTCTAATGTTACAGTTGGCTTTGGGAAATGTGATATCGGCACTAGGTGACAAATCAAGAAAGGCGCTTCATGTGCCATATAGAGACTCAAAACTTACAAGGCTCCTTCAGGACTCACTTGGGGGTAAGAATGCTTGCTTGAAATGCTTTTTTTAAAAAATTAGATCTTAATTTTTACCAACACATGCATGTTTCCTCTGTTGGCACTTACCAACATACCATGGCTGCACCATAGCTCAAGCGGTTAGTCGCTGGCTTCCCACCACAGCAACCCGGGTTCAATTCTGGGTCTGGTCAAGTAGGATTTGTGGTGGACAAAGTGTCGCTGGGGCAGGTTTTCTCCGAATACTTAGGTTTCTCCTGCCAGTCTTCATTCCACCAAATTTTCCATCATCATAATCACCCAGGGAAGGCTACAACAGGCCAATCAGTGGCCACCGTGCTGAGTGGACCCAGTTGGATTCCACCTCCCACTAAAAGAATTTGAAAATAATTTACCAGCATACCAGTATGTAACAGTGTAAACTTGGGGCAACACAAGTGCCATTTATTGCAGGTTTGTAAAGTAACAAGTCTCTAAATATGTGAATTTTTATTATATAAGTGGATTTTTCTAGAAAATTTGAAAAGAACAACTTAAACAATTTAATTTTTAGAAAAGCAGCACATGGCCTCAGTTGGTTGCACCCCATTTTAACATGTTTTATGTCCATCATAATTTCTGTTATTTGAAAAGTGGTTGCATTTGTAAATTAATGCTGTGATTTCACTTATAAATTGCCCTGACTGTCCTTCATGACTGTCATCATAATGCCATATCATACACATTATTTTGTAGATTTCAGTCACATCGAAGGGTATTTCATATGACTGACACCTTTACATGTTTTTCAACCATTACACAACTAAATACTGTGGTGTAATGAATCCTGCTTATATGTAAGAGGTATCCAGTGTGAATGTAAGTTGTGTTCCAAATGCTAGCTTTCCTCTGTTCCTTCAGGATAGCACCAGACCAAACAGGAACAGACTGACTATGACCATTTTGCCCTCATGTCACATAATTTGCCATTCCCACTCATTCAACTACAGCTATGTAAACAAGCGGTATAGGTATCCATGTGATGTGGAATTGAACTTTCTGCCTTGTAGCATAGTGTCTCAACCAACTACGCTACCCCATGCCCCATTCAATGCTATGTAATATAAGTAACTTATAGTATCATTAACTAGTTTGCTCTTGACATCAGCCCAACTCAGACTGTCCTCAATATGGAAAGCCTGCTATTTGGATGTAACGGATTTGTGACACATTCCATTGCATCCGCAGGCTGCATTAATTTAAAGAAACAAATGTTAATGGTAGCCTCGTAGGTACAACATGTATTTCATTATTTTAGCAAAACAATATGGAAGAGAGATTGTAATATTTCTAAGTGATAAAAATGAAAACACATCATCATTAGTGTTCATTGCTCAGTACTGTATCACCAAGGAAGCAGGTTCCCTTATTAGAATTGTCAAAACAGTAACATTAAGTAACCTGTGACATTTTAAAATTAAAGTAACTGGTTTCATGACATTGAAGTAACTTAACAGAGTTATTCCTAATGACAAGATGCAACTCTTTGCAGGTAACAGCCAAACCGTAATGATAGCATGTGTGTCACCAAGTGACCGTGACTTCATGGAGACGCTCAATACTCTGAAGTATGCAAACAGGGCACGAAATATCAAGAACAGGGTTACCATAAATCAGGATAAATCATCTCGGACCATTGTCCTCCTACGACAAGAGATACAGCAGTTACAGCTGGAGCTGCTAGAGTACAAGCAGGTTTGCTCACTCGTTATGCAGTACCACTCTTTGTGCGTATAGTTTCACATTACAAATGGATGATGCAATAATAGTTAATAAACCATTTCTTTTAAAGTTAATGAACTTTCTTGTGTCCTTTTCATGCTCAATATCACATTAAGGGTATATTTTCCAGTCCAATATAGAACTGAACTTATCTATTTTAAAACTAAAAAGAAACAAATTATGAAGTGTATCATTTCTGGAATATCCATTCTCTTATTGTCTCTAGATTTCAAATTCTGAGTACCACAATTTAATGCTCTTTGTAAGTAACCTAAAAGTGGTAGGGCAGACAAGCAAGGACTATGAGTATAAAATTTGATCAAAATGGGTCCCAGCAGTTTTTGAATTGTGTGATGAAAGAACATAAAAATCTTCTATGCTTATTCAAAAACCATAATACCTATTGCATGAAGTCTGATGGGCATAAAATATGTATTAAATTTTCTCCACAAGTTTCATTCAAAATGTTTTTCAGCATAATCATTATTATTAGTAAGTTACAGAGAAGTGAGCACAAAGAAATGCATGTAGCTTCTCTTGTAAAGTGTCTGTTATTTCTGTCTAATTTTAATCAAAATTGAAATGTTTTGATCTTATCATTTGTTGAGATCAAATAAACATATCCAAAAATCATCATTTATTGAACTCAGTCTGTCATTGTTTTGTCACACAATTTTAAGAACTTCAGTATACCAATGTTATTTGGAAAGTTACCTCAGGTTCGCTGTTAACAAAACAAGCAGCAAAGAAAAAATTATTTTATACAAAAAATACTGTCATGTGTATTAGTGACTGTAGATGGGGTTTGGATTGGTGAGTAGATTTATTGACCACTTACAGGTTGTAACTATAGATAACTGTAACACTGTTGCTGATTTCCACACTAAGCCTTCACAGTTTACTTTCACTAGTCTTTACTTGGTAACAACTCTCAACAATAGCTATTCCTCTGCATTGTTTTCACTAGACATTTCATGGAAATTCTTCAGCTTCCTTTGCCTGCTGGTTAACACTCCACAGCTGCACCGCACTCACTCTCTGAACTGAACTCAGTTGGTTGAGTCATATATCCTCGGAGCAGACTCAAGAGAATGCCACTTGCAACAACTCTTCTATTGTTGCGTGACGTCACCGCATATGTGCCTAACCAATCACTCAATAGCAATGGCTGTACACGTCATGTATCATGACACCTCCTCTATTGGTGCATGTGAGCATTATCTAGCAACAGCTGTTTCTCTGCCTCCACAGTTCTTGCTTTGAGCGAGTACATCACAATACGTACATGCTCGAGCTACTTTTTAATGTAGTCACCGCTGGAATTGAGACACTTATCGGGGAACAAGTTTTGTATGCCTTTGTCAAAGAAGTTTGACACCTTCCATCAACTCCTCATTATTGCTGAGATAGTGTAATCCCCACCAGGTCTTCAGGTAGATAAACAGGTTTTAGTCACTTGGATTGAGATCAGGGCTGTAAGGAAGGTGGCCAGACAACTGCTGGTTGAAATGCTCCAGCAGTGCTTGAGTGTGAGCAGCTGTATGTGGTTGCCCATTGTCATGGAGGAGCACTACACAGTTTTCCTCAGCTTTCTGACAGGCAGACAACATTTGTTTGAACTTTTTCAGCTTGTTTGGGGAATGTGTTTTGATCCACTGCCTTTACTGCTTTTTGGTTTCAACGTTCACAAATGAAACCCTGGTTTTGTTACCTGTTACTTGTATCCCATGATTGAGAAATTCATTGCCATCTTTGTGGTATTGCTCTAAATACATCAAAGCCGAAGCCATTCTCTGCATTTTGTGCACACCCGTGAGCATTTTCGGAACCTACCTTATGCAGAACTTGTGATAGGTTAACCTAACTGTGATAATCCTGTAGAGAACAGTATGCAGAATTTGTGGAAATTCACATGAAAGTTTTGAATTGTAAAGCTCTATCTTTCACAAATTTTTTGGTCAGCACTTTCAACAAGATCATCGCTGACTACAGATGGCCCGCCACTTCTTTCTTCTTCATGAACATTTGTTGTCACTCTTTGAACATTCTACACCATTGTCCTGCAGTTTCTTCACTCATTACATTTTGGCTGTAAACCACGCATTATTCACAATGGATTTCCTCAGCGCTCATGCATTTAGCCTGAAGAAAGAGGATAGCAGTTCGAATTTCACAACAGTGAACAGAGTCATGTGATGCTACCTCACATGCATTAGCTCTTTCCGCTCATATATTAGTTGCCCAAAATAAACTGAATAGCCCTCATATGACAAGTTGTTTGCCTTTTTGCAATACACATTATAGTAGAACTGCTTTAAGTGAACCAGATTTGGACACTACTAAATGTTTGGAAAGTTTCATATCAAGACAGAGCCTAAGAAACACCAAGATATGTGATGGCTATATGCTCATGTTAAGGTATGAATGTGTATTGTCTCTATTTTTCAATTACAATTAGTTTGTGCTGATAGTATTTTTACTGTCATCCATGAAAATTCTGCAAACATCTGAGTGGAAAGAGTGAAGAATGATACACTGATGAATTTTGCTAGGAGTACCAGTAATTTACTTTTCAGACATTGTCAAAAATAGCAAGTTGCTGTGGGTATTGAGATGATTCATATATCCTTTTAACTCTTTGCCACACCTAACACATTAGGACCTGTCAAAGGTAAATGTTTCATGCTGTGTTTGTTGTGATAAAATGTTTTGTGTGAAGGACACCTGAAGTAACTGGTCTGATATCATCAGGATGTATTGAATTTAAATGACACGGCAAATGGTTAAACTTTATAATTAATGCATTGTAGATTATGTCAGAACAAAAGGAGTTGTTGAGCTTCACTAAGCCTTAACCTCAGAATTATTGTAATAGCTATGGATAATAAAATGAATCAATTTGGAAGTACAGAATATATTGCTGTGTGCTGTCAGCAGATCAGTCATCGCATTTGTGTGAATCTTCTAAGATTTTTGCACATGCTTCTTACCTTTCTCATGAGCCTTTTGCTGGAAGACATTTAAAGGCAAGAAGTGTGTTTAAAGCTGGACAGTGCACATACTTTTTTCCACACTGAATGTCAATTGCAGTGAAATCTTTGCTAATTATAGATCTAATTTCAGAAATTTAAACCATGAAAACAATAAAATTCAACTATGATAACTGAGTGTTATCCTTTCCATAAAAATATAAAAAGGACCATATTTTTTCTCTAAACAAGTAAATTCAAGAGCCGTATCTTGCTTTTATGATGTATTTGGCTTAACTAGATATTGCAAACATGTGATTTAATTTTTTTTTCTTTCTTTCTTTCTTTTTAGGGCAAAAGGATGATTGGTGAAGATGGTGTCGAAACAGTAAACGACATGTTTCATGAGAATACAATGCTGCAGACAGAGAATAATAACCTGCGAACTAGGGTGAAGGCTATGCAAGAAACAGTAGATGCACTTAGTAGTAGAAACACACATCTTCTGGCTGAAAAGGCTACAGGTGGATGGATCCTTGCAGGTAATGATTAATTCTAAACTAGATATCTGTATTTGCCCATTCTCTGCCGCATCCATGGACTTTACATATTTGTGTTTCCCCTTTGTCAGCAGTGGTCACATGAAAATCACAGTGTTGATGATGATGATCGTCATCAATCAAGGATTAGGTTTGAACCTGTTTCAGATTAAAAGTTTGTAGGGATCATCTGTTTCTTAGTTATGCAGCTGCTGTTACTCTGAGACAGTATTCCTGTGTCTGCTTTGGTATAAAGTGCTTAAAGAAAAGGTAAAGCTATCCATTTAACAGGCCATGAAGGCATATAGAGTTGTGAGATGTTGAGTTTCCCACATTTTCTAGACAGTCTGTTCACAGATGTAAGTGAGGTTGTCAGCCTAATGTGCTGGCCACCCATTATGCCCAGAGTGAATATTCCTGGTACTCGTTTCTGTTAGAGGCTGAGTCAACCCCAGGGCCATAGTTTAGCCAGAAGGATTAGGTCAATTGAAAAATCCAATGACATCATTAGGAATTGGAACCGCAACCTTCTAGCTTGTAGCATACTGTCTCAACCAACTATGCTAACACTGTTGCTTAATTTGTTCTGTATATGAGATCTATTGATTTTTAATATTGCTAAACTATATTATTGAAATTACAAATATTAAAGATCAGTTACTAATAAAATATTCTACACTAGTAAGATACTGGAGAAAACTGGTAGTACAATGGGACAGTATGTTGTCACATGTCCAGGGTTCCATGACAGATAATTAATGGATTACAGATTTGGGGAAGTGGTTTATTGGAGAATTACACCAGGCACTGTTACACCGTGGTGACAGGGGGCGTGGAGGTATCCCACCGCTGCCACCATATGTTACGCCGTGGTGACAGGGGGCGTGGAGGTACCCCACCGCTGTCACCCTATGTTATGGCGCGAAGGGGGCGTGGAGGAATCTCTCCACCTCTTCCGCCATCCATGCCGTTGCGCCCTTGGGAATGGCCAGTTGCAAGGCTAAGCACTTGGTACCTGTCATGTTAGGTACCTCTTGGCTGTGAGTTCACAGTCCCGATAACACAGGGAGGTACGAGAGAACAGGGAAATAGAGGGTGTGACTGGGGGTAAGTCATTAACACCACACATCCCCTTCACTCGGTCTACTCGTCTACTCTATACACTTATGTACATCACACTTTTGTAGCCGACAGTCGTCGGTTACGTACACATTGTAATTTGAATAACGATACTCTTGGGTTCACCATCCTATGTTCCCCCTCTCAGGGCCTACTCCCTCTCTGACCTAACCTAGGTCATGTCACTTTAATAATATCACACTAGATATCCATGACTGGTATGAACAGTTCGACTTACTTGGTGTAAGAGCTGATGGTGCTCCCCCTCGGTCTGGCACGACCGTGGCTCAGGTCCTCTGGCCTCTGGTTTGCTATTCACTTGACATTATACACTCAGATAGATTGACAGATTGAATGGATATTCAATCGGTGATCAAAAGATGTGATCCCAAAGATAGCTCCTCCAGTTGTGTCAGCTTCTTTATAACTTTCTCCCTGCTGACTCCTGTCTTTTTGGGGTAAGCTCCGCCCCTGCACTAGAGCGAATTCTTCCCCAAGTCCATCTCTCGTTGGTCAGCTGGATAAAGAGGGTTGGATCTCCTCAGGTCGTCTCGCTGAGTTGTCACTCCTTATGCCTTGGCCGTCTCTGGTTGTTCCGCATGTATCAGCGGTCTCTGCTATGTGACAATTTTCTACCTATTCTGCGGCTTCCTCATTCCACTTCAAACATTAACCCTTCGGCTAACTTCTGTTATGGTGAACCTAAGATAACTTAATACCTAAAAGTTACCAAAACCAATGCCGAAATTCTACAGCATTACAGGCACAACTACAGACAATTATGACACACAATAATTATAACACTTTGTAACTACGAACAATGATCACACTCTGATGTTCACTGTAACTGCACCACCCGAAGACTTCCCTTGGTTCTCCTCTTACTTCTTTGTGATCTTGTGTCTCTTCTGATCTCGTTATATCTGGTGCAGTCTCCCTGAGGTAGGTTCTTGGCGCACTGAATAGCCATTTCCGTGGTAGCCTCCTGCCTATGTACATGTTGCCACAGAAACACCTCCAGTTCAGCCATAACTTATGTGTCTAGCTGAGTATTTCCATGGAAGTGCATGTGTGCTAGTCCCATGGTAAGCTTTTGTTGCGGGAAGGTGCTTTGTTAATGCTTGTTGCCTAGGAAATCAACTTTGATCTCACTCAACTGCTCCGGTTTTAAAGCGGCACACCACAATATTTATCAACTTATGTGAAAAGTGTTATAACGTTTCTTTACATTTACATGTATGTTACATTGCATTCCTTAGATGTTGGATGTGGAATGTGTAATATGCACATACAAGTATAAGTGCACTCTGTAGACCCTGTTAAGCAAATCACAGTTACATATTCATATGGCTCTCTTTTAGGTAGTGAATCAGATGTAACAGAGATGATACAGGGCTACTTGAAAGAGATCGAAGAACTTCGTGCAAAACTTCTGGAATCAGAAGCCATGTGCCAGCAGCTTCGAAAGACATCATTACGGACACCTCCACGAGGCTTACTTAATTCCCATGTTGCTATGACAGGTCAGTTGGAAACAGGTTTCAAAGTAAGTGGAATGTATTGTGATGTAATGGCTGAAAGCCAGAATGGTGGAACCAGAAGAGATGGCGGTTGCTAATCAACAGCTGGGAAACATGCTATCACATTAAAAAACATGTGGGGCAACACTGGTCAGCATTAGAGAAACTGCTGGAATCGGTGTTATCTGTGTGGACCATACTGAGGTTACTCATATACAGGGTGTTTCAAAAAGAGCTTTAAAACTTTTAAAGCTTATATAAATTTATACTGAGGACATACACAGCGTTTTGAATTGTCATAATGTAGCAAAAACACCGAGTTTTACCTCGGATAGCTATGGTTCAATGTGACTTCCAATGGTAATGCAGCAGATTCCCACCTGTAGTCAGTCTCTTGCCACACGCTACGTAGCATCTCTGGCGTCACTTCTGCAACTGAGGCAGTAATTTGAGTTTGGAACTCAACGACATTTGCAGTCAAAGGTGGTATGAACACTCCAACTTTAACAAATCCCCATAAGAAAAAATCCAGGGGAGTAAGATCCGGGGAACGAGGTGGCCATGCTATCAGCGCCGCTCTACCAATTCACCCACCTGGGAAACGGGTGTTGAGGTACTCGCGCACTTCTCCGAGGTAACGAGGGGTTGGGCTGTCTTGCTGGAAGTGAATGCATCCTCCTTTGTCATCTTCATCTAACTGTGGAATGAGGAACTCTTGGAGCATGTCCAGATATACGATACCGGTAATGGTCGTCTCCATGAAGAAGAAGGGGCTGTACACTCTTTCTTTGGTGAGGGCGCAAAACACGTTCACCTTTGGGCTATCACGAACATGTTCCAGGGAGACGCGTGGATTTTTGCTGCCCCAGATCCTGACATGAAACGTGCTCTCATCACTGAGTCACAGAGTCCAGAAACTTCTCATCATCTTGTATCCAATGAAACATTTGCATACAGAATTTCTTATGAACCACCTTATCTGCATCTGTAAGGTGTTGAACGATGGATAATTGTACGCTCTTAAGTGTAAACGTTTTCATAACACTCGCCACACAGTACCATTTGGAATACCAGTTTCCCAAGACGCACATCGTATTGACTTTCGTGGACTTCGAACAAAGCTCTCCCTAATCTGTTCCACTGTAGCGTCAGAAACACGTGGCCGACTGGGTGGCTTGGCATGGTGCACAAAACATCCGGTCTGAACAAAATTCTTGTGCCAGGAGTAAATTGTAGGCCTACTGGGAGGTTCCTTGTGATACTGAGTGCGAAATTTCCTTTGAAGTTTTGTAGCAGACTTCGTTTCTTCGAACCAAAGGACATAACGAGCACGCTCTGTACCTGTGAAAGTAGCTATCTTGATTTCAACTGCAGGAGCGCTTGCGGTGGCGGTATTGGGTACTACAGTATCACGTGCATGAAACTCGATGTGTTATGACAGTTCAAGACGTTGTGTATGTCCTCCGTATAAATTTATATAAGCTTTCAAAGTTGTAAAGCTCTTTTTTAAACACTCTGTATAATGAGAATGTACGGGTCGAGTTACTTAGTTGAGCCAGTCACCAGTTGGTAAGGATGTGAGTGTGGAAGCAGAGGAATACCCAATATTGGGAGCCACTACCTGGCAGTGACCAGTGAAGACTATAACAGACTGAGACTTACCATGTGCTGTAGTGATCTGTAAAGGCACAGGGCAGTATTTTATTTGATATGCTTCCTGTAACACATTCATTGCCAGTTCACTTGATGGATAGAGGTTTACTGCATGCCATTGCCAATCCAATCAAGTGACAGGCAGTTCTACTCTGAATATAATTATCATACCATCCTTCAGATGTCACTTAAATGCAGAGCAACTTTAAATGTGGCCTTCCAGAATTTCAATTATACAGCAGTTGTTGATTTCTTTGCACTTGTTTTCTTCTGTCTTGATCTTGAATGTAATAAGTTAGAACTCCAGATTCTGTAGAAGATGGCTGGCTGAACAGATAAAATCCTAGTACATAATGGCAATAAATGTATTGACAGCCCTCCTTGTGATCCGTGATCATGTTGGTCTAAAAAGTGTTTTATGAATTGTAATGTTCTCTGTTATGCACAGCATTTCATCCATTTGTTCAGTGCACTGCATTGGAATAAATCTCTCATAAATCACCACCTCAGTCCACTCAGTCATGTTGTACTGCAATTGTATTTTATTCAAAGGAATCAAGTGAAAATTAAAAGCATTGTCTTGACAGGCAATTTTGACATAGCGCTAGGAGACACTTCTTCTGTGGGTAGCCTGATTGCTGAAGCAAAGAAAGGACTACAGAAAGACATGGAACTTTTGTCCAGGAGCACTAGAGGCCAACAGAGTGATGACAGCAAGAAGAACGGTCTTGAAGATGGGGCAGAGGGTGAAAGTGATAATAGTGATAGTGAAGAAAAAGGTAAGTAGGTTTCTCAGTTTAGTGTCATTATCAGGGCCTGGATTTTGATGACATAAAAATATTTTAAAAAATGACCAAAAAATCCAGAAAAATTTGTGTGGCCTTTCAGCATTCTGTTTTTGGTTCATATGGAACAGTGGAATACGAGTATACAAGGGGGTACCCAAAAGAAACC